TTTTTCGCTTCCCTTACCTTCAGGCTTACCTTCCCCTTAATTCTCATCTCTTCGAACAGGAGATTTTTTGCTTCTATCTTCAAGGATCTCCTCCACTGACCTGCTTGCACGAACTCCATCCCCTCCATTTTCCCCCCCATCTTAGTTCCTCACCCTCTCACCAATCCTAGTGATGCTTCAGACGACCTCTTTTCTTGCTCCTCTTTCTTCAAAGTATTTTGGCCCCTATCAAATTTTCTTGAGCTAGGCAAATAGGGCAATGGTCTGAAGTCACTCTCACTAAAGCTCGTGAAGTTAAATTTTCCCACAAAACTTATCAATCCACCGAAAAAAGGAATTTGTCTAGTATAGAGCAAATCGACGAATCTTGAAAGTTCGACCAAGTATAGTCAGCTTGTAGAAATGGTATCTCTTTTAGTTAAAATAATTCTACAAACTCATTAAACTTCCTCATACTTGTTGTGATTCTTTGACTTGGATTGATTGTCTCTAATGTAAATCGGATTATGTTGAAATCACCACCCAAACACCAAGATCCCTCCCACAACCCTCTAATGGCACTCAACTCCTCCCAAAAATGAATCCTCTCCTTATAGGAATTCGGACTGTAAACATTTGTCAAAGCCCAATCCTTGCCATCGGTTAGCCTTCTAAATTTGATTGAAACTGAAAACTGTCCCCTATTAGCGCTTCCAGACCTTCCAACTCTCCATTCCTCCACATGGTGAGCATACCTCCATAAGCTCCCCAAGAAGGTGCAAAAGCCCAACTTAAACCTCTAGCTCCCTAGATGCTCCTAATCCATCTCCTATCTATTTCCTGAAGTTTTGTTTCTTGTAACATCACCACATCCAGTCTTTCCTTTCTGAAGGCTTCTCTAATAAGCCGCTCCGACTAGTGTTACATTACAAGGATGAAGCACCTTGAAAGGAAGCCTCATACAGGTAGAAATGAAACACCTTGGTATAAAATCTAATTTCTTGAAACTTCATTTAGTTAAGAAAACCTGAAAATTTTCCTTCTGATGCAAATACTATAAGATTTTCTGCATATGAACCATGGAGGGAATGTTAAACATTTCATAGCACGCATGCAAGCTTGTATTTACGGTGATAATAATTTGTTCTCTTTTCTGCTTCCAATAAAGGTCATTACTCATAATAAGCAATACTAACTTGCTTTTTTCTGTTTTAATTGATAAGTGTTCATTGTATTAATTCATTAATTGATGATAAAAAAAAATATGAAATATGTACAACAGAAGGTATGCCAAGCACCCCCAAGCCCCAAGATAGAAGTTGCTATATTTTCCACTACTATTTAATATTACAAGCCTAGGGATCAAGAGTCCCTAATGTAACCCGCTGTACAATTCTTCCCCACCCATTCCTTGCTTCACTAGAACATAGAGTTCACCAAACTGTGTGTTTCCCATTGGCAGTACAAACTTGCTTTAGCTGAGTCCAGTTGCCAGACCTCCATGCAAATTCTGGGGTATGACATATTACATTTGACATGGAAATCAATAAAGACTAGGGATAGGAAAAGGATATACGATATTCAGCATAAAGTTATACAAATATGGCAAATGTTCCAAATTTGAGCAATAAGATAATCATATAGTTAATTCAGAATGACCCTCAAGTTGTAGGAAAAAAAAGAAATATACCTCTTTGAAGGGATGAGAACCTGGCTTTTCTTGTAGTTCTTGTTGTAGATGCTGCAAGTAGAGAAAAGGAAAAAAAATCCTTGTGAGAAATATGTCATCATACAAAGATCAGTGTTTTAAAAAATCCCATCAGGCTTAGACTTTGAGGCTCATTTCAAGAAGAAAAGCACCTCAAGGTTCAACCTTGAGACTTATGCCCGAAGATATAAARTACATTCCTCATACTGATGCTATATGTGTGTACATACATGTATTAATGTATAATTGTATGTGTGCGCCTACGTCTATGCTTTAACATGTTAAAAGCCATTTTAATGTATTAAATAGCATACAGTCAGATTTTTGTAATGGTAACCCCTAAAACTTCCAATATTCTCAAATCCAATGTTTATCTGATCATTTATTCTTACATGATTTTTTTTATGAATTTTATTCTTATTCTTACATGATTTTCCTACATAAAGTATACATCTCATGCATATTTCTATACTCATGTTTTTTTTCCTCCTTAAAAATCAGTTAACTATGAGGCCTGAGTGTAATCCCTTGAGGCCTACACCTGATGCATCTAAAGGTCCTGGAGCCTTGCTTCCCACGTTTGTGCTTTTAAACATTGATGAAGTCCATAATCTCAAATTCAATACATTCATCCCATTAATCTAAAACACCCACAGTCCTATGTTACTCCTTCAGAAAAAACTGTTTCTTGAGGGATGTTATACCCATTTGTATGATAAAATCATGAGTTGAACAGAACTATCTGCTACCTGTGTCTCACATGCATCCATTTCAGGGATTCTTCCATTTAAAATACTCTCTATTATGAAAAGACAAAAACACCTCTAAAAGTATGCTAATAAATCTCTCCATTTCATTGTGCGACCAAGCATAGCATTCCACAGATTTATTTGATTGCATTATCATGTGGACAAGCATATCCAAATGTAGGAGCATGAATTCACCCATAGATAAATAGCATTTAACATTAGTATGCAGAATAACAGTCTTAATTTCAGCATTAGTTGTTGGGCTCCTTTATTAAATTCAACAGTTTTTGATTTACCATGCCATTTTTAAACTGAGGCCATACGATTTTCTTATGAACTATTCATTTATTCTTGATCTACCTGAAAGAGTATGATAGGTTAATATTTTGGTGCACAGGCTGAAAGGCCTAGAAATGAGTGGCCACCCAACACAACCATTTCCCAGCCTGCATATATGTGTACCTACATTTCGGTAGATAATTCATTTCTTTTTCTTTTTCTTTTTTGGATTGATCATCAAAACACAAAAATTGTCTATCAGATGGTACAACACAATATAGCAAATTAGCAATAATGATTTCAACTATGAGAATAATTCCAAGAGAAATTGTTATGCAATTTGCAGACTAGTATTTGATATACTACCTGGGCATGTGTAACGATTTCTCCACGGACAGCATATTCACAATTTAGTACCTAGAAAAGGGGAAAAGTCAATCTTAAGAGCACAAGTATAAATGAATAAACTAAATGGCAATGAGAAATAATGAAATGCAGAACATCCCTAGAAAACACAACATGATTACCAGCTATAACCATAACTCCACAATTGGCAATCAAAAGTTGAGGGAGAAGGCAAGTGGAGAAGGTGAAACAGTTAAGCATTAAATGATATTTACTTGATCATATGGTTGAAACTTGAAAGCTCAGTAGACCTCATCTACTGAACCAATTCAAAACTTGGATGGTTCAATGGCTTATAAATTGGAGAATATTGAAACGTGTCAATGAACAGGTGTAATACACAAGAGAAGTTATAAGATCCATTTAACATAATTGAGTGTTGTGTCTCAAGGGGTATTAATCACATGTTGGCACAACTCTGGCTGCATCCAGTGTTATGATAATTTACAACACCACTGTTTTATCTTACAATACCATACAGGTTATCAGTATTGCATAACACCTAATAGGACATAATGAAAATATTGAAATCCTTGAAGGCTGAAAAAGGTCATGAGTTTCAATGTCAATGTCCAGGAAATTAGAGAAATATTGAGGGATGTATTAGAAGGGCATGCTTACATATACAGAGCTTAAGAAAAATAGCAACAAAGAAAGAAAGAAAGAAAGATAACATGTATAAGAAGAGCACATAGGGGATGAAGGTAGTCGTTGGTGAAATAATAAAATTCACTTTTGAAGGTATAAAAAAATGTAGCAGCACGGCCAATAAGAAAATAAAGATAAAGAAAACTCAAATAGGTTCACATAACGCACATGCAACTGAGCAAAGAGTAACACAGTCCAGAAAAAGAAGCGTCATATGTACAATGATACACTTGGGGAGCACAGTGTAAAACACATATTGTCTGTTGCTTATTGCTTTAATGGAATAATTAAGAGAGATTAACAACGGAGCTCTATTTTTTATTTAAGACATAATATACACACATTCCGATTTTATTTAATCTTTTATTCAAGTTATAAAAACAAAATTTTTATTGTAAAATGATATCAGTCAAAACTATTCTATGGTGAAATGAAACATAACTTGATCAAGATGTTATAATAAATTCACAAGTAAAACATCAAGCATTCCCATTATCTTTTTTTTTTTTTTGATAAATGAACATTCCCATTATCTTTGCGTAAATGGAATTTGTACAACTAAACATATATAGATGTAGTTAACCATCTTTTTAGGATTTAGTAGTGGAAAAATTTACTAATAAATCAGTGTCCTGGGAAAAAAAATTGTATCTTCGTTGGGGTAAGGATCATCACCGTCATTAGATCTACCTTTCCCAATCTCCCTATTTACTTTCTCTCAAGCTTTAGGGCTCCAATGAAAGTTGCGCATAAAAAAAGATTGCTGGTGATCTTTTGTGGAAGACTAGTGATTCAAAAAAGGATCATCTTATAAATTAGGCCAGTGTGTGCATGAGAAGTACATTTGCAAAATTCAACATATTAATCCATGCCAAAATACAGAATCATACAAAGATGAAACTTGATTGATATAGGATAAATACACCAATATTTTTTTAAGCCAGCTAAATACACCACATTAGTCTATATAAAGCTACCGGAATAACAAATAAACAGCAAGAAGTTAATAAAGGAAAGAACTAAAAGCATAATATCCAGCATGCCAAACTACTCAAATGGTCCTTCCCCGCCCCATCCCTGGTCCCCCCTAAAGAAAAAGTTCAACAGTAAGAGAAATGCAAACGCAAAATAACTCATGCCCATACACGCAAACAATATATAATACCCATTTATGTGAATACCCCAAACCAACAAATAAGCAGCAAAGAAGATGAACCCAGGTGCAGAGTAAGAATTAAACATATCCACCCACGAGAAGAACCCAAAGCAACGAATAAACAGAAACGAAATGAACCAAGTTGCAGAAAATGAAAATTCAAACATACTCATCAACATTAACTCTTATTCTCCTTTTTGGAAATAATATATCAATTAACTCGAACAGGTTAAGAAGAAGAAGAAAGAGCTACCTTTGGATTGATAGTTTCGCTAGTAACAGTAGCAGAAGAAGAAGACATGGTCGAAGGATCAGCAGCGGAAGTAGAGGAAAGGAAGTAAGATTGAGAGGACAGTGGGCGCTGCAATGATCCGATCAGATGTTTCGCTCGGTTCGCGACGAATCTCCGCATCGTACTTAGCGGGCTTTTAAGGGGACTTCCCGAGATATCAAAGGACTGCACGACCGAACACGAGTCGCCTTCAGAATGTTGCGTCTCAGACGTGCTCTTTCCTCCGTCGTTCTTTTCACTGTTCGCGTTTTGGAATCTAACACCGATCGGGGCAATAGACAATCAAACGAGTAGGAAACGAGTGCCGCTGACAATGAGTCTGGAACTCTGGATCTGTGTTGGGACCGTCTGTTATTGGGACCTTCACAGCGAGTTTTGTGGTTTTCGAATCGTCGTTTATCCAAACGGTCGGACCGTTCGGTCCGATAATCATCTAGGCAACCGGTTCAGTTTCACCCATGAATCGGAATTTTGACAAAAACCCGTTGATTTGATCAGCGACCCGCTGATCCAACAGTCAAACTATCAATTTATTCTTCTCGGACAATGGTTTTTTGTTGTTTTATTTTAGTAAAAATTCCTTATCAGTTATTTTAGGGATTGTGTCAAGTCAGTGCCTAAACCTCAAAACGTGTATTTGCAGCACTTTGAACTTTCAAATTGTGCCTGATCCCTATCTATTAATGTCGTGAGTGAAATAATAGAAATATCCATCAGGTATCATCTAATTTTTTTTATCTGCTACTTCCACATAAGCCAATTCAAGAGTGGAGCAACTTGAAATAGTAAAGCTTCAGACGTGGCGACTTCAGCGGAGAATTGTCACGTTTGTTAATTTTGAGTTTTTACAGTCTTCTTTTACATGTTCAAGTATTACGTTCTTATTTCATCCATATCTGGCAATGGGAAGTGCAAAATTGTACTGGTTCTTGCAAAACTCAACAAGTTGTTTTGTGGATGACGAAAATACGTGAATCTTCACTCTCGATTTCTCGATTGAGTTTACCAATTTCTCATATTTCTTCCTCATCTCCATGTTATGACATCTAAAAAGCTCGTCAGTGATTAATAAGGTTTGGATAGCCATCAGCTTATGTGTAATTCCAACATGCTTGGTCCCATAACAGATCAGACGAAATGGATAAAATGGTCAAAAAACCCATAAAGGATAATTTTGCTATTTCAAAATTGTTTAATATGCACCTGATATCACGTGATGATATTGACTGACAATCAACTTATAATAGAGACCTATTAGACACAATTTAAAAGTTCAAGGTATTGCAAATACACATTTTAAAGTGTAGGGGCTGACTTGACACCCCCCAAAATATAGGGCATTGATCATAAAATTTTCCTCTATTTTAAGGGAAAATTCCACTATAGTTCCCTGAACTTCGGGGATATTGTCAAGTTAGTATTTGAACTTCCAAACGTGTCACTATAATACCTAAACTTTCAAAAAGCGTCAAGTTGGTCCCTTTCGTTAACCAACCATTAGTTATTTATTGAAAATGTCAAAACTACCCTTCAAAAGAAGACACTGTTCATTGTCTTCTACCTTGATATTGAATCGGTTATCTTCAAAGAAAATGAGAGAAAAAAACATGAAATATGATAGAGAGAAACAATAACTAAAAACAAAGAAATAACTAAACAAGAATGTATTTCAGCTCTAAAGGTAGAAGACAATGACTTCATTAGTCTAGAATCTCAAACACCTCAACCAGTTCAGTCTCAAACAATGTCTTCTTTTGAAGGGTAGTTATGACATTTTCAACAAATGCCTGGCAGTCAGTTAACGGCGGGAGTCAACTTGACACTTTTTGAAAGTTTAGATGCTGTAGTGACATATTTAAAAATTTGGGTACTAACTTGATACTACCAACAAAGTTTATGATACTAAAGTGAAACTTTCCCTTATTTTAATTAATTTTTCACATTTTAAAATTGCAACTGGCCATCATTCCAATCAAACGGTCAAACTGCTGACCCATAAATTAATAGCTAAAGTGGGATTGATTTCAAATCAGTTTTCAAAACATTGAGGTGTATTGTCCCTGAAGCCGATGTTAAGATATGATGAATCACTCAGTATATGTTTGGCATCGATGCTGAAGTTGCAGCACCATTTTCTGATGATTGTGCCTTTATTTTTGTTTTGAATCATTGCTGTCAAGTAGGACGTTTCCTAGAGCAACAACTTTTTCTGTTTGGTACCATTGCTCCAGGAAACGTTTTCAGACAAGTACCCATTATCCAGTGCCGTATCACTACCCTGTTGGTAGCAACGAACTGTAAATTCAAAAAATGCCAAATTTGGCATTGCTCCAAGTCATGACTTCCCGATTTCCGAGGTATGGCTTAAAACACCATTTTTTATAAAAAAAAAAACAGTTATAAACAAATGTCCATTTCCTAGAACACCGTTTTTTCAGATGTGACACTGATATGATGCCATTGCTCCAAAAAATGGCAACGATGCCAAAACAGCCCCTCAGATTCGAACTCGCTACAGTTGCACGAACACGCGGCCGCATGAACAATTGACTCACCTAACTAATAGGGCTGCAAACAAACGGAACGAACAGAATCGAACTTGTTTGTCTATATTCTGATTTATATAAAATAAAGGTCTAAAACAATATTAGGATTTGAATCAAATATTATCCATTGGATTTATGTCAGGTTTGAGTCAAATAATTAAATTAAAAATAATCGAAATATTATATTATTAATAAAATAAATTAAAAATAACTTTAATCATGAAGAAAATATATTAGAAATTGATTTTAGTTGGCCGTCAGCCCGTCACATCCTGTTGTAAGTTGTAACAACCACGTGACACTTCTGTAACTTTTCCAAAACTGAGTTTTGCCCTTTGCTAAACTAATCATCATTGCCCTTATTATATCTAAAACAAACCCAAATTTGTTTCCCAAAATATACACTGCATTTTCGGGCAGATAGACGCATGCTTTGCTCGATATCGATTGCTGATTTTGCAATCATTATCATCGGATATTTTAAGGCCCTGTTTGGTTCGTGGGAATAGGGGTCTGAAATTGGAATCAGAATGAGCTTATTTTGATTCCAACTGTTTTGGTTGGATAGAATCAGAATTTCATTCTCATTCTTATTGGAATGGCATTTCCCATTTGAAGAAATGGCTATTCCTTGTTTCTCCCATGAGAGTAAAATTCTATTCTTACTTATTTCAATTCCATTTCTCAATTCTGTCTGAATCAAAAGACTATGAGATTGRGCCATTCTGATTCTAATTCCGAAGGATTTTAATTCCAATTCTAACTGCAAGCTAAATTACAATTCTAATTCCGGAGGAGCTAAATCATTGTTTATACAAAACAAGACCCTTATGAATTTCAATGGAGCTTTGGTCTTCTCAACAGCGATAGTAACAAGTAACAACTTTTCTAGCAATCATTAAACAGAAATGATTTTCCCTCTTTTCTTTTTTTTTGATAAATAGGATGATAGTATAACATTTTTATACAGTTTCTGTAAATAATATATCTTTGATAAAAACCCAAAAATACCCCAAGTCGCATTTATTTGCTTCAGCCTTCGTGTTTTAGCCTCAGGGCTGAGTTTGGAAAGAATGCATAAAATAAAGCCTTGTATTTTATATTTCTAAACATGTATTTGCATTATACATATTTATATTTGTATTCTTTCCATATTGACACTTGTGGTTGTATTTCTCCCTCAAGGAAAATGGACCTGAAGAAAGAGAATCACATGTTCTCTTCCATTAAAATCCGCTTTTGATGTTTACATCTTTGGCTCATTTTGGAAAGAGTGTAAATACAAATATATACAGTATAAATGCATACAAAATACAAGGTTTTGCATCCTGCATATTTGTATTTGTACTCCTTTCAAACTGAGCGATTAGAATTCTTTTGAACTCGAATTCTTTTCCTGCTTTTTGGTTGGATTGATGGATTTGTTCTCTGCCACTTGATTACCAAATGCCCGATGTACCAATGACAAAAGAAATTTGTCCACTGTTTTGCTTTGTTTATTGGAAGGACAGATCAAACCCTTAAAAAGCTTGATCCTTTGAAAGCATTCAAATGTAGTAATATGTGCATATCTGGTTGTGATTTGTGAAGACGACCATTTTTTAAGTTGATCCTTTGAAAGCTTATTATTTTGAATTCTGTTTCAAATGTTCAAGATTCATTTGGATAGTAAAACTCATTTTTTAAGTCACAACACAGGCCAGAACCCACAAAACTTGATTTCTAAGTAAGGTGTGGAATAGAGCTTGTGGATTAAAACGTGCAGATCCCTTATATTAAATTGATCAACATGAAAAGCAATAAATAGTTTTTCTTAACACTTTTCACATATTAGAATTAATTTAATAATATCAACAGTGRGTAGCAATAGTAGCACTATTCTCCTTGACTCTACTATTGTATGCAGGTGTGGAATAGAGCTTTTTTTTTAACACTTTCACATATTAGAGCCTTACACAAAACATGTACTGAAATCTTAATTCTAGTGGCTATTAACACAACACCAAAGAACAGGGGGAGGAACAAGGAAGAAGAAAGAAGAAGATGAGAGAGAATGGAAAGAGAATAAAAGGGGAGGAAGTGAATGTTTTAAAAATTTGAAGAATAGTTAGGGTAAAAGAGTCTATATCTAACTTAACAACATGACTTAACAGAATTTGAATTTTCCAAACATCATGGATCTTTAAACTAGGTTCTTAAACCTTAGGGATGCTTTAAGTAATTGTGAGATAGTTCAGGGGTACTTTAAGGCTATGTTTGGTTTGAAGGAAAAAGTAGGGAAAGGAATGGAAAGGTATGAAAACATATATAAGGTTTGTAAAGGTTTCCTTGCTTTTCCGTCCCTTTCCCTACTATTTCCTTCAAACCAAACACAGCCTATGTAATTAACTCTTCTTTTTTCCTTTCATTTGTTTGAGAGAGGAAAGAAGTTGAAAGAGGTAGAGCATCCTCATTACTGGACTTAGCCAAATCAAAGAACTCATACACCATTTTGCATCCACAATGGATCCATTAGTTGGTTAGAACCAACTATGGTGGACACTCTACCTTTTTCAACTCTCATTTATTTCTCTCTTAAACACATGAAAAGAAAATTAGGTCCTATTTGGATCAGGGGAATTGGAACCGGAATGGGCTATTCCAGTTCTAACAATTTGGTTGGAAGGAATCAGAATCTCATTCCTATTCCTAGTGGAATGGCATTCCCCCATTTGAGGGAATGACCATTCCCTCCCCATCCCCTGGGAATGAAATCCCATTCTTGCTTATGTCCAATTTTCATTTCCTTTTCTATCTTAACCAAACAAACTA